CCCTTGGTGTTTTATGGTGAGCAATCTCATCATTGAGAGTTGATGTGCCTCATGTGTCCCACCTAACTTATTTTACTCTGTTCAACATCTAATTTCAGGCTGAAAGGTAGAAAGTTGCCTCTGTGTTGCTACTTCTCAGAAAGAAAGAAAAGTGCTTTGAAAATAATATATGATGTTATACTCTTGCCAGATTTATTCTAACTCATTCAGTGAATGATAACCTTCTTAAAGGACTGATTTATTAGCATGCATTCATTCAGTATATATAAAATATCTCAAATATAAGGCATCGAGAGAGGTATACAGTTAAAATCTTGCCCTCCTTGGAGCTTATGGCTCCGGGTAGGGGAGACACATGAATATAAATTATTGCAATATGAGGTAGCGAGAGCTCCATGTTCTAGGATGCTCCAGAGAAACTCAAGGGACTCAAGTTTGGAGGGATCAAGAACTTCATGGAGAAGTAGAAATGTGAATGGGGCCCTAAACAAGAATTAGAGAAGCAAAGGAAGTGACTAAAGGAGGGCATTGCAACAGTGCTGAGGGGAGGCAGGCTAAGGAGGCTGCACGTAGCTCTGGGCAGTTGGTAACCACAAACAGCCGTCAAGCGGGAAGTGGGACGCTGTGTCATGCCCTCTTCCAGACCAGTTTCTACCAAAACGTAAGGGCTTACTGATCTCTAGTGCCTACAACAGTTCCATGCACGTGGTGGGCAGACAGCATCACTGATCCGTGACCTTGGGGATGGCAACCCAATGTCAGGAAACAGATTTGAATGCTTCTCTGAAGAGGAAACAGGGAGCAGCTCCCAAGCATGCGAACTGGGACAACCTTGGATCTCAAGTATAGATTTGGCAATTTTACCACAGAAAATAGCGCGTGAGAGAGGAGAGGGCGGGGAGAGTGTTCCTTCCCCCTGTAATCATGAGCAGAAATAACATCTCATTATAAACTTTAAAGAGAGGAGGCCCTTTAAATGAAATAGTAACGAAGTTGGACAGGATCACTTTGAAGACTTGGCTGTAGGTGGTGTGGAAAATGCTAACATCTGTCAGTGCCCTTCGTCTCTAGTGGAGCTCTATCGGCAGAGTCTGAGTGCTTCCTGTGTGCATGTGCGTCAGGTATATGTGTGTTACACCAGCAGAGGCACGTGAGGATGCTAACGATGCACAGAATGCCACACCTGACTGCCAGGGACTGTGGTTGCAGGTGAAGTAGGGTCATTACCTCAGAACAGCCCAGATCAAGCCTGGGGCCTGCAGGTTGATCTAATGCCTTTGAACTAATTTTTCCTCCTGGTCTGAGGCACGCTGGCTAGAGTGGGGGTGGGGGTGGGGTGGCAGGGAAGGAGCATGGAATTTGGAGCCAGAGCTCTTCAGAACCAAGTAGAGCTACCAAGGGTATGTGGCTGTGAAAAAAACCTGTAAGAAGAGCCTCTGGGGGTGCCCGATACTCTTAGAATAAGAGGGAGGAGGTGTATCTGCTAAACACAAGAGGTGAGCCTGGGAGGGGATCAGGTACTACTTAGAAGACAGGCTTCCCTGTGAAACGTCCAGTGTCTAGTTCTGTGATTCATGGTAGCAGGAGGCACTGGCCCACCATTCCCAACAAGACCCACTAAAAAAGAGAGAGCAGATGGAAAAGTTGATTGCTGAGTGATGTTTTAGAATAGGGATCAGAAAGAAGGGCACGATATAGTAATAACAAAATCATATGATATTTCAAATTATTCTAGCACTTTCAGTGTTTCTAACAGTTTCACTGTGTTGACCCATTACAACATGCCTTAGGCTGCATTCCTGCTTGTTACCAAGTGCACCCTTTCTGGTAGAATGAAAAAGGAGAGAAACTGAGGACAGCTTTGCTCATTTAAGGTCCTATTTATATAGAGACCCCATAGAATGTTGAAGCTGGAAGGGGCTGTAGACATCATTTAGTTCAGTCTTCACAGATGAGGAAACTGATGAAGTGGCTTTGGGAAGGTGTAGGTGGAGCCCTACCCTCTCTGCTATCAGTAAGTACACCTAATCTGGGACGTGCTGGCGTTAGAAAGCAGAGATGTTGCTGTGATAACACTGACTCAACTGTTAATCCTTAATTTATACCCTAGATAGGCTGCTTTCTAATTTTATTCCACAAAAGTCTCTACAACATATTAAAAAAATAGATTCTATAAACATGATTTTCAGACTTTGCTGTCCTATCTATAATAATAAAAGTGTAATAGGCTAATTAGACCGGATGTCCTTCTGGACAAAGCCGGGGCTGCGAAGGAAACCCGGTCCCAAGTACCTGCCAGCGGCCAGAGGGAAGCCGGTGCCAGCAGCAGGGGGAAGGAAGGCCTACTCTTGCACAAATTTCGTGCATCGGGCCTCTAGTAAATACATATTTTCCTATAGCTGGATTTAATTTTTCCCTACAAATTAATTGCACAGAAAAGAAAATGGGTGTACAACACCATCCTATAAAGAAGCAGGTCCCCAAAGGTAGCTCTCCTTTCTCCAATGGCTGCACAGTGGATTAAAATGAATATGAAACTGGGAGCAAAGGCCCACGGTGCTGCCCGTGTATAAGAGGGGGCATTCAGCTGCTTACAGGCACAGAGAGCTGCCCTGTTTCTGTGGACAAATAGTGAATGTGCTCTGTGTCAATGTCAAGGCCCGACAGTGTCCCTCACTGCGCACAGAAGTCAGAGCAAGAGTCCAGGCTGGCAGGGAAGGCCTGGAATGGGCTTCAAGGAGGGGGAAGGTGGAGCAGCAATAAAGGGTCTTAGTGAGTCCATATTTAATATGTGGGAAGCTGACTCCAAGCAAAGTGGAGGGACCTGCTCAAGACCTTACAATCTATGGGTGGCAAAACTAAGACGATTCTCTGTTCTGATTCCCATGCCTTTATTAACTTTTACACAGGAGCTGGGGACACTTTAGGGAAGACAGTGAGAGTCACAGCAAGCAGTACGATGGCCAGGTAACACAGGAACAGAGTCCGTAAGCTCCCATTTCTGGTGCCAAGACAAAATATATCTTAGTGAGTGAAGGGGGCTTAAGGCTTTTCATTTATGGATGGGATTTAGTGGGTCAGAACAGTTTACAAACATTATAACGTGGGCAGCATACTCAGCACATTAAATTACTCAGAAGTTTTACAAACCACTCCTGCCTTCCCCCTACTTCCTCTGGGCCCCGGGAGAAGTTCTGATAGGACTGGCCCTTGGTTAAGAACCACTGCTCTGGTGGACCACTGACAGACTGGACCCTGTCAGCTCCCTTAGGTGTGCGGGGGCAGAGGAAGGGTTACCAACCACCGATGTACAGCCTCACAGTAGCCGTCACGGCTGTGGCCCTCTTGTGCAGCTGATCAAGTCATTTCCTAGCACCTTCTAGAATAACCCTTCCAGACCAACAGAAATATATAGGGAATTAAAGTTTTTCTAGTAGCCACATTAAAAAGGAAAAGGAAACAGGTAACATTCATATTAATAGTACATTTAACTCAACATATCCAAAGCATGCCATTTCAACAAGTAGTAAATATATGTTATATTTTACTTTTTCATACTAAGTCTGCAAAATCTGATGTGTATTTTGTACCTACAGCACATCTCCACCCACAATTAGCCACATTTCAAGTGTCCAATAGCCACATCAGGCCAGTAGCTACCAGGCTGGACATAAAACTGCCCTTGCCTCCTTCATTCACCTAAGTTTACTCCAACAGACACAGAGATTTCCCCACAATGTAGCCATTCCTGCCTGTCTCAGGGCCTTTTCCTTTCCAAGTCTAATGTGGACACTTTGGTCTTTATTCCATCCCAGCTCTTCTCCACGCAGTCATCAAGTAATCATCCCTGAGCGCCTACTAAGTGCTGGCTCTTTGTTAACTTATGAGGATGAAAAGATAACAAGTCACAGACCTTGACTTCCAGGAGCTCTCAGGTTAGTGGGAAATGAAGGCACATACAAGAGAGCCCGATGAATGCTATACAGCGATGCCTGCGGAGGGCGCACAGAGGAAGGGATGGCTGCTCCTGCTGGGCTTATGGAAAGCAGTCACAGCGATGGGACATTGGGCTGGTTTTAAGGGGCGAGGAACAGTGGTGGAGAGGCCGAGAAAGTGTTTCAGGCAAAGGGAAAAGTATATTCAACACCTAAGTATGATGATCTGCATGCTTGGAAATGGCAAGTGTCTAAGAAGAAAATGGCAAGGAGTGCCTGGAGTGAGGGTCATTCTCGGAGCAGGGAGACCTGGTGATGGCTTTTAGCATAGACTGCAGAGGACTAAGAAGCAAGGAGAGCCTGACAAAGGGGAACCACCATGTTTAGAAAGGAGGGGATGTGAACATCAAAGTGAATGAAGGAAATGTAAGAGCACCATTTTCTAAAGACAGCCTCCACGTGAGGCATTCTGATGGAACCTGGGCAAAGGGCGGAATAGCTAATGCTTCCCAGCTCAGACCCCGAGGCCCCTGGCACGTTTTATACAGGGCTACTGCAGCCTGTTGGTGTCTGAGAGCATTAAGTGGCCTGAAGAATGAATAGAGAGAGCTACCTAAGTTACCTCCACGGTTGCTCAGTAAGTCATGCCTGCGAGATGCCAGCTTGATCAGATGACATGATGGCTTATTTGACCTTGAGTTTTCTGGAAGAAGGCTGGAGCTCTCAGGTAAGAACAGGGTAACAACAACATGACATTTGCAGTGACAAGGAGCCTCTGAGATTCATGGGTTCTCCTCTCACACATGGGAAAGCTGAGGCACGGAGAGTGAAAAGGCTTAATTAAAGGCCATACAGTTGGTAAGTCTGCAGCGCAGAGAACAGAATTCAGGTTGGTGGTACCAAAGCCACGGCGAGAACAGACAACAGCTGCCATGGAGAACTGTTTTACCTTTCCAGAAAATTCAAGTGGAAAAAGAGAAAGCAAGGCTAGAGACACATTAGGTAAGAAAACCATCTTTGCGAGCCACACAGATTTAGTTTAGCAGCAGCGAACAAGGTACTCACACGGAGAAATGTCCACAAAGCCTGGGTCGATGTTATGTAGCAGCTCAATTCTGGGGGACGGGCTTCCTTCACTAGAAAAGAATTTTTTAGAAAATGTTAATTTCCTCTCTCAAATGGGTATAAATGATTTTAATACTTTCTATCCTTATACTTGTAGAAAATAGCAAATATGCCAATTGGCATGTATCGCCAAGTAGTCCTCATTTGTTTACATTATAACAATGACTGACATTTGTATAAGAACTTCAATGTCAAGCGTATTTAAAAAAATGAGCCTCGTGACCTTTTGCAATAGACAACGTAGCTGTATTAAACATCCTGAATCCTCACAGTGAAATGAAGAAAGAGCATCCGCCCAAGTGGCAGCGTCAGTAGTACAGATGCGACATGCCTCCTGAATATCAGCTTATGTGAGAAAAACTACTGTCTCCCCTGTCCAGACTGGCAACATGGTTAGAACTTATAGTTAATACAAGTACATGTGAAATACATATACTTCTTTAACATAAAAACAGGGTGCATGCAAATACAATCACAACCTACAATAGTGCTGGAAAAAACCTTGGAGATCACTTAGTCCAACCCCTCACGTTGCAGAAGAGCAAGGCACACAAAAAGTTATTGGCCACATATGGGTTGTATGACTCTCAAAAGAGTATTCTTAAAAAAATGGGAGCATAAACATCAGATGTATGTGGGGTGTACATGAAGCACCCAGGTCATTTTCCTAGTATATACTTAGCCTTACGGAAGGTGTCAGACACAATTCCAATCACTGGGAGACAACTGTGGAGAACTTGATCATCCAATAGGAGATTGCCAAGTGTTGTTAATGCCCTGGGATTTGTACATATCTGAATAACCAGTTAAGGCTCCTGAGGTACTAAGAGGCCATGTTTTCAGGTGGCCCAATATCCATACCCCAAACTCACAGCTAGTTATCCACAGCAGTGGATTCTAAGGACCATGAAATTTCAAGAAAATCTGGGTTGTGCCTGGCAATGTTGTATTTGCGAAGTAAGGACATGTTAAAACAAAATTAAATGTATTAAAAACAAACAAACAAAACCCTTCAATTCCCATCACCAATATTTTTCATCTTCTGGATGAAAGTTCCTTATTATATGCATTTTTTGTTAATATTTTCTCTAATTCTATGGGTGTGTTTTTTCTTTCCTGATAGTATCATTTGGAGAACAAAAGTTTTAGTATATGATAACAATTTCTTCCTCAAAGGTATGTGTACCAAAGTGGGTTGGATTAAAATAAAAGTGTTCTGTATGTTTCATAACAGCTTTTAGCAACTATCAACTGTGATCACCACAATCTTAAAGAATAAGTTGTGGCTTCATCAAACTCATAAAATGCTTATGGGATTGATTATTGCTGTATTACAACATGTATTAGCTTCTGTCTTCTCTATGTTTCTATATGTATTTATACATAATGCTATAAATATTGTATTTCACTATTCTTTTGCACGTTATTCCAAAGTTTCTTTTCCATACAACCAAAGCACTAGAAACTGAGCAATGTCAGTTGCTTCAATAATTTATGGTCTTACTTCTGCCTAGTTCTGAAGCCCTGGCTTTCTCGCATGCAAGATAGCATTGTCTTTAAGAGCATAGCCTTTCAGAGTTTGCATCTCAACTCCACAAATTACCAGCTATATAAACTTGAGCCTTGTTTTTCCTCACTAGCAGAATGTGGATAAAAGTACCAACTTAGCCCTGACCGGTTTGGCTCAGTGGATAGAGTGTCGGCCTGAAGGGTCCCGGGTTCGATTCCGGTCAAGGGCATGTGCCTTGGTTGCAGGCACATCCCCAGTGGGGAGTGTGCAGGAGGCAGCTGATCGATGTTTCTCTCTCATCGATGTTTCTGACTCTCTATCCCTCTCCCTTCCTCTCTGTAAAAAACCAATAAAATATTTTTTTAAAAAAGTACCAACTTACAGGGTTGCTATGAATTAAATGAGGCAACATATGTAAAGCACTTAGCACAGTGCCTGGGATATATTGAGGGCTGAATAAGCTGGCCGCTTAAGATCAACAACAACTTTCACTGCAAAAATGCAGGTTTTGACTATGCGGACAGGGGAAAAATACAACCACAAATACAAGGCTACAATCTGAGGTGCAGATACAAGAATAATATGTAGATACAATGGACATCGATATTCTTATCCATTCTTCTTGCTAGCAAGAGTTCTCCTATGAAATATAATGATATGGCTATAACTAATTTCTAAGGCCTGATGTGATACTCTCTCCCATGTGAGAGTCCCTTTAGAAAATTATCAGTGTCAAATAAGGCTAAGTCACACAGTCTACTCATGATGAGCTGCATATAAAAAAGATATGTTGCAATCTGTTATCTAGGAATTTTCCTTATTTTTCAGTTTAGGCAGATGGCACAGTTTAGCTGTATAAGCAACACTACCTCCACTGGACTGTTGATTCCATTTGTGAAATATAAATCTCTGAATAATGACTGATGATGTTTATAGTAAGTGATTTTTCAATACTCACACAAGTTCCTTGTTTTTAGGTGAACCAAGGGAAGGGGTGTTTCTATGATGGCAAATCTTTGGGCTCCAGGTTGATATAACAAAGGAGAGTTCTCTAATAAGGTAAGCACCTATGGGACTCTTCAGGGATCCTACTGCACAGTGCTCACTTCCTGCCTCGCATACATTATTGGCCAAGGCAGTTCACAATGACCACGTAATGATGGACGCCTACCTCTAAACCAGTGAAATGGGCACGTCACACAAATGTCCGTAACAATCAAATTGGAGTCACTTGGGCGTCTTTGGCTGAGCTAATTAGAATAGTGACCAGCATTTATAGAGCATTTGCCATTTTAAATACTTTACATGCATTATTTCATTTAATTCTCAACACTATGATGTAGACACAACCTTGGCACACTGCAGTTAAGTGAGTTACAAGATTAGATGGTTAAGCAGGTGATAGAATTGGGTTTGGAACTCAGGCAGACTGACTCCCGAGTTCCCCACTCCTAACCACAATGCTAAATTGTCTCCTTAGTGAAATGTAGACATGGTCTCAGTATCTCCTTGAATATATTCTATTTCCACTCATGTAGCTTATTATTAGGCACCATTAACAAATATCTCTATTGACTTCAAATGTCTATTTAGAGTTTTTCTCCATCCTCTTGTCTTAAATACTGATACATTTCAGTATTCAATTTTAATTTACCTCAAATTTCATATTTTCTGGATTAATTTTTTAAAAACTAGGACAAGGAGAAATTGATCAGTGACTAGTTTCCAATATGCTATAAATATTTTCTAAAAGTCTACAGTTTCAGACACTGAGATCACAGCACTGTCCATTTATAAATAGAGTTTCCAGTTTTTGACTTTTATTTTCCAACTAGTTGAAGGGTGGGGCACTGAAACATTTCCCATAAATAAGTGAAACGCTATTACATTCCATACTTCTTTTACCACTAGCTACTGGCCATCTGTCATAAAAAGACACACCCTGTAAGGCAGTATCAAATTTTTACAAAGAGAAATAGCCAGGGCAAAATTTTCTGAGGTGAAATTTTGAAAAAAAAAAGTTACTAATTAAAAAAATTCGACTAATACCTACATAGTAATGTCCATCTCATTAACCCTTTGTAAGCATCTTCATCATCATCATCTTCACTTCAAAATACAGTGCTGTTACTATGTCCCAGGCACTGTGCTAAGTGTTTTACACAGATTCTTTTACTAAATCCTCCTATAAGTGCCTATGAGGCAGGTACCACTATTAGTGCACTTTTCACATGAGGAAACTGATGCTTAGAGTTATTAAGTAACTTGCCCAGATCACACAAAACATAAATGGAGACAGGATTTGAACCAGCTATAACCACAGAGTTCACATTTTCAACCGTTATAAATATCTTACAGTATTTATGTTCTTTTTTATGGGGGTGTGGGTGATACTGGGTTTGTGTAAATCCCATGTTCCTTGAAAAGCCATTTTAACATGTAAACATTGTCACAAGTAAAGAGTTTATGCATGGAAATTATAAACTTTTGACTATATTTAATGAGGAAATTAATTTGATATAAAGTTATATATGAGGAATTTTTCATGTACATTTTTATTAAGGAATCTTATTAAAAAATTTAAGTAGGCTACTTAAGAAATAATATTAAGTAATATTATAAAAATGATGGAATCATGCCCTTAATATAATTTTTTCCTACTCATTACTGTAGAATAATTGGTAGTTCTTTTGGGTTAGTATCTAGGCAAACCAGCAGGGCCTAATATGCCTTTATTCCAATTTCCATTATAAAACTCATGAAGAATTACAAAGAGATGAAAACTGGCAACAGTGTTGGAAAATAAAGAGAAGACCAGATGCCAAAGTCCCGAGGGAATGTCCCTAATGCCAGTGCTGCAGAGATTAACAACATATTCCTGGATTCCACCAGAAGAATCAAAACCTGATCCCAAGGCAAACAGAAGAAGATGGTGTCATTTTGTCTTCCTTTAGGTAGAGGACTCAGGGGCAGCATCACAAAATTAGGCAATGCTCTCCCGTTAGCGTTAGTGGGCTTCAAAGCCAAACCTTCCGTCCTTCCTCCCTCGCCCCCAGGCAGCATCCCTCCCTATTTCCACCGCTGGGGCAAACCCCAGACCACAAGGGAGTCAACAGAAGAAACTATCATAGAATAAAGCACCTAACTACAAAAGAAATCTAAAACAGCACGCAGAGCACTACATACTAGGCTAGGGGCATAGGGTAGGAGCTCTTTTGTCAAAAAGGGTAAAGTAGGGAATCAAAAAAATAACACATCATTCTTTAAACATTTTGCTTTAACTTAAAAACATATATAGCCACGTGGCAGTCTTTGAAGGCAGAGCTACTGGCTGGAGTTCCCTATCATCTTTATTACCAACCATACTTATCATGCTTCACCTACAGTTTCTAGTGCTGTTTGTCTTAAACGAGTGCAAGGGCCTAAGAACATGTGAGTTTCCAGATTTCCACAGAATGGTGGCCATCTAAATTTGAATCTCTCCACACATTTCTCTGAAAA